TTCTACATAAAAGTTTTTTTGAATGTGAGCAATAGTAAATCAAACTAAGACTTAAGCAATTAATCGCGCAATAAATTAAAATAAGCTTGAGAATTTACATTATGATGGTTAATATGTTTTTGTTTGCATAAACATAATGCATTTTATTTGTGGTTTTGGTTTGTGTGTGGTTTTTTTATTTTATTTATTGTTTTTGGTTGTTGTGGGTTTTATTTTGGATATTTAATATATCCTCCAGCTTCAGTGTGAATTGTTCTTTACTAAATTAAAAGTTTATTGGTATTTGAGGAGGAAATCTTGCATTAATACATCACTTAAAATAAGGTCTTAAAAACAACATTATTGTTTATGGCAATAATTTCTGGGACAATTTATCGTCTGATATAATTGGTTATTGTGGCATCCAACAGTCTGATTTGTGGATTCATCAATGCATTTCTGTCTCACAATCCAACATAAATAGCGATTATAAGCTTTAGAAAAACGATGGGACGCAATTTAACAGCATTGCATTGTTTAACTGTAAAAACTAAAACTAACTAGAAATTGATTCCATAAACAAATAGAAATATAATTACAGTAAATAATTCAGTGAATATGAACCTTATAAAAAGCATTCTTTATTAGGCAAAGCTCTGTAGAAAGGTAAAATAATGCATATGGTAAAATATTGGACACAATTATGAAAAACTGCTATGTGGCTTAGTTTTTAATCCCAAACTATACAATGTTTTCCCCTCAAACAACTGAGTCTTCCTTTCTTGCAGACAAGAGAAATATGCAAGGGTCTTGTTCCAAACTGAGCTGCAGCGCTGCGTTACTCTACGCTCTGTAAATCCCTCTATAACCTCCATATACATGGTAACCAGCCAATGCTTTTATTCTAACCTTCAGCTCTACCAAGAAGTACTTGGAGCACATTATGAACTGAAATGTTACAAAAGTGACAACTAAAGATTACAAACAGACACTGTTGTAAAAACAAAAAAAACCTTAAGAAACTTTTTTTTTTTTGATCAGGTGTTCTTATTTCCAATTTAAGGCATGACAATTGTCCTCAAAGAAATTGAGAACTCTGACACGCTGCCCTTATATAACAAGTTAATATTCAAGTCAAGTGATAAGAAATTATGACTTTATATTGATATTGTAACTTTTAAACCCATTTTAAAAGGAGTGGTTTATCAATTTCTTATCTTTTGTGGGGGGGGAAATTAACAGTAAAACCTCCAACTTTAGAATATGAAGTCAAAAATATTTAGAAACAACCAAAAATTATAGCTTACTTAATTTCCCTTCTGGTTTTTGCATTAGCAATACAACATATCTCAAAGTTGTTTGAAGCTACCTTTGCTTTTTTTTTATATTACGCAACAGCTGCAGGTATTTTTAACTCAATTACAGACGGAAGAAAATTTCACCCATCAGGATAACACATTCTGCTGAGCGATAAATCTTCCCAGAAGTTATTGCGATAAACGATAATGTTTTGAGAAAATGTTCCAGTAACACAATGATAACGGCATAACATGCAAGAATACATTCTCAAAGATCAAGGAATTTGAAATGCATTTGACAGTGGAACTGGAAGACATTGTAAATATACAAAATAAATAAAATAAATAAATTCTCTGAACAAAATTGTCCTAAAAACAAACAAAAAAAAAGGCTAGTTGAAACCTTAGCACCAGACTGAAGACTTTTGTCAACCAGTTTTTGACAGGGAGAGAGAGATAAAAGAGAAAAATGGTCATGCAAATGGTAATTATTGAGTTTGTTTTAATTTATCATGCGATTAATTGATTTATCGCTTACTGCAACAGGCAGAGGGAAAATAAAAACTTTTGATAATGTATGCCATTTTTTATGCTCTTCAAAAGTAATGACTCTTATCTACTTTTATTTGCACACCTCTTAACTCCATGACCACAAGCATTTCTTCATTTATGTAATAAGACAAATGGGTTTCCTTCACAGACCCAAAAGAACCTTTTAAACTTTTCATAAGTTCCTCCTGTCTGGCACCCCAAACAACCAAAACCAATAATATGTTAACATAAATAATAATAATAAAAATAAAAAAAAAACTAGCTACTTCCTGCCTTAGAATAAGCTAACAGTCAGACAACATTCACTCATCTCACAATTGGGGAGCAACCTCAGGGGCAACACGCACGCAAAACGTGCAACATGCAACACCAAGCTGAAAATAAGCAACACAATAACTTATTATAACCAGCTCAGGGAGCCACTTTCAGCTGTTTCACTCCACAAAGCGCTGTGATGAGTTTGCAGTCTGACATAACACACAGGGTTCATTGTGACTGAACTTCACCCATCACACTGTAGCGCCAACAAAAACCACCTTTATTGCTGCCTTTGCATTTGCAAGCAACTGTCGATATGCAGAAAATTGCACAATTGCTCTTGTGCCGAGCGGAGGCCGCCTCTTCCATGATCCGGGTGAGAAAGGAAGCGCCTTCCGCAACCCTCGGCCACAATCTGTGTCCTTACAGTCACCTCCATGTTTCTGAAGCAGAAAGCCACAGCTTGTCTCGCATTACCCACACAGCAGTGCATGTATCAGACATGCATTCCAGGTCTGTGGACTTTTGTTCTGTTTTTATGTAAAAATCCACTCAAAATAATGGTTTGCTCCACAATTCCTATATATTTTTTTTGATAGTTTAAAAATCAAGCACAAATATCTACAGTACACTAGCTTGAAATATCATAAAGATAAAAAGTGATTGTGCACAAAATGAAATAAAACGTCTAGGTGAGGTATCAGCTAACATGGAAAATCAGGTACTTAATTAAATGTTGCTTTTCATTTAAAATCAACTTCTTTATTGTGTCAAAGTTGTGGTTAACTTAACATCCTTTTATTTTAAAGGGACAGTATTATGTATTCTCCACCCATATTGTGCTATTTCATTGCAAAATCAACTTACAATGTTACTTTAAGATGTTACTTTAATGCTGTATATATTAACCATGACTTTAAAGAAATTTGACTATGCAATTTAACGCCATGAAATTGAGCTTCTGTCTGTTTAAGAAGCTCTTGCTCTTTCTGACACTCCGCCTTCAGGAAGTCATCACAACAAAGTTCCTCCATTAAGCCTTTAACAATGTTTCACTTACTTGAGAAAGAATAACCAGTTGCATAGTTAAAATTTTGTCCCATAGGGGGAAAAAAAACTATTTTTTGTCATTGAACCAGTGTGGAACATTTCATTCAGAAAAGAAAATGGTATAAAACTTGACAATTAAGCAAATGAATCTATAAAAAAACATAAAAATAACATGTTAAGAGATATGTACTGTATTAGCATTTCATAAAGTAGGGAAAATGTATTTTGATAATCTGAAACCTGTTTAAAATGATTCAGTTCTGGCTTGACTTGTACAAAAACTGATCAAAGGTATTCCTTAAATTTAGTTACATTTTTTCTGACCATTGACAAAAACGGTTTCAATGTTGAGAGAGAGGGGGGAAAAACAACAACAAAAACACAATGACGAATTTCAGAATTCCAAGCACTCTTAATTTTTAACTAAGTCAAATCTGGAATTTCCTTAAAAGTAATAATAGTTTTCCACAAACAATATGTTCAGACATAGAGCTATTTTCAAAAATTTTGCTAGCATACATATTGAAATCAATTAAGTAAATATTCATCCAATTGAAAAAGGTATTGCTTAACGTTTTACAGTAGTATCCAAAACACCCAAATTATTCAAAGCATTTTGATACATCTTGAGTTTTATGCAAAGGGGGGCTTCAGCTCAGAAAAGAAAGCTCAGTGGAGCAAGAAGAGTTATTGTGAGACCAATATATTCTGCTCAAAGTCACAAACAACCTTGGGAAAGCGCTTATTATTACAGTAAATTTGTAGAAAGTCAACAAAAGTGCTGAAATTATTACAAAATAAGTACAATCTAATTAGTTGCTTTAAACTACAACAATTACTCTACTTTAAAATGGAATTCATGCATAGCCAGGCCTAAAGTCCAGATATAAAAGACCCAAGCTCAAGCAATCCTAGGAAATAAGTTATTACTTGTTAATGTTTTACAAAATAAGTACAATGTGCACAAAATGTTTTATAGAATGCAAACAAGAGCAAAAGATGACTAATGATATAACTTTCAGACTATGCTCTCTAAAACGTGTACAACTTGGGCATTTTTTACTAACTGTGTAAATTAAATTTCTTTTTAAGCCCCCCAAAACTTGCTACAGGAGGTAACAATGTTAACTTATACCTTGGGCCGGCCTGGTTTAAAGTCGCAACTTTTAGTTTCAGAGAAATTACCTCAGAATGTTGGACTTTAAAATGCTGTACTATTCATAATTTCTAGCCTACATACATAATCTTTATGTCACATTAAATTATTTTGAATGAGCTTTTAAATGAAATAATTTATTTTGACAAACACCTGTCATAAAATAACTTGCATTCATGGCTGCTTGAAAGCAGTGAAATAGTAATTTACTCAAGTATCAATTTGTTTGCCAACTCCATCTTAGGAGCTGTATCAATCATTCATTTCCAATTTTTAAAACATATAATGTACCCAAATTGGGAATTTTGATATTTTAAGACACGTAGAAACAACTTAAAGCTTTGTAATGTACAACGTTCAAGCTATGTGTCAAGTATTGGAGACAGAACCAGGTAGCCTGATAAGCTAATATGACAACTAACGTAATGAAAAGAGCAGAAAACACTACTTAAGCGTTAATACAACATACTATAGGGTCAAGACAAATTAAAGACCCACTGTTAGAATATCAACAAGGCATGTGGTCGCCGTGAAAACATTATAATCCCCCTGTCATGAACAGCATCTGCTAGCATGTAGCCTCCGGTGAGGCTTTGAGGCCTTCTCCTAGCTTCCACCATCGCCATAACTGAGCTCGGTTTCATTTGGGAGCAGCTGCGCCGTAGTTTTAACTTTCAACCAGGAGTGAACAGTGCAGATATACTCACAATCCAAATGTTTCTTCTTTGGGCCCATAATTTCGTGCGTGGTGGCCTTGCATACTGTTTTCGACACCGCGGATCCCGTTACACTGTGCTGGGCTGCCGTTATCCTGTCCGTAATGCTCTGTCCCGACATCTTCGCTTTACTCAATGAAACAAAAGACTCAAAAAATGTGAAGCCCGAACGGCTTTAGTCTCCGAAGTTAGGTTTTCGTTTCCCCAGCTGTTTAAAAAATGAAATTTGATATCCACCTCCTCCTTTGCCTCTCAAGACCCCCCTTTTTCCCACCTCGCTCGGAGGAAAGAAAAATCAAAACTAGGCTATGGCAGACGCGGACCAGGGGAGGGCGGAATATAAAGGAAATCGGAATCTGACAACAATAAATATATATAAAAAATATATAGACTCGAATTTTTTTTCTTTTTTTTAGGCAGGGTCAGTCCCGATTCATTCGGAATTTAGAAATGCCAAGACAGTGAGGTTTCTTTCGCTGACTCATTCAACCCGGGTCTCTGTCTCGCTCTCATCCCGATGTAGCACACCGGATCCCTGCCTCCGCCGCTCCGCAAGTCGTCGTTGTCGCCGCCGCTCCTCCTCCTCTCCCTGTTCTCCCTCCTCCTACTGCCCACTGCTGCTCAGCGTCAAAGCGCCGTGAAAGGAGAAAAAAACAGGACCTCTGAGAACGGGAAATGGCGGGTCTGTTCTGCTTTGCTCTCATGAACACCACCCAGCAGCAGGCCTGCAATCAGAATCTGCACGGCTCGATCCTGCAGAACACTCCGCGGAGAATGTGTGGCTGTGCACAGATCAGCTATGTGGGGGGAAAAATAACCAAATTCTCATCTGTCAAGCCTAGATGGATGAAGCCTGTGCTGAATCTGAGTAATGGGTATAGCTCAATGGGAACCAACACAACGGGCCTAAGTGAAAGAATGAACCAGAACATTCTGGTTCATTCTAAATAAACTTAAGTGTATTTTGCATGGATTTTACGTTATACACAAACACAAAGGGGTAAACGGTTTGAAAAATGTTGCTAAATAAGACCAAAAAAGTGGTGTCCATTTTTATTCACTACCCCCTTTTATTCCAGTTCCCATCAATAAAATCCAATCCATCTAACTACCTTAAAAAAATTTCCTAATTAGCATAGTCCACCTGTGTGTGATTTATTCTCAGGATAAGTAAAGCTCTTTTGGAAAGGCTTGTCCATACGGACCAAATGCAGCATAGGTCAGTGATAAAGTTGTGTTGAAGTTTAAATCCAGGTTAGGTTAAAATACACTCTAGAGCAGTGGGGTCGACCTTCTACCCACTCCTCTGGTCTCAAGTTTTGCAGATGCCACCGTCATTATTGGTCTGATCCAGAACAATGATGCTTTCACATGCAGACAAGAAGTCGAACAGCTAGGGCACAGGTGTGGTCTGAACCAGCCTCAGCTTAATCCACTCAAAACTGTAGAGATGATTTCAGACTTGCTGAAAACGAACACCCCTCATCATCCGTAACATTGTGCTCACTGTGGATCACATCAGGTTTTTAGGAACCACTCCTTTCTTAGGATCTGAGTTAGTCTTACGCTGCTCGGTAGAATAGTAAAGTTTGAACTTTTTGAGGCATCTCGACAAGTACAACCTTCCACAGGATCTGCTGGTCAGCTTGTACGCTGCCAGACTCTGTACTGAATCTTTCCTGTGTACGGGTCCAGACTCCAACAACAATCAGGTCTGCAGAGTGGATAATTGTGGCTGGCATTCCCTCTATACAGGACTAGGGTTAGAGAAAGAGCAGCATGGGCAACCAGCATCTCTGCAGACCCCACACATTCTGAACACAAACTGCTTAGACTTTTACTTTTAGCTAAATGCTATAGGTTACTATTAGCAAAAACCAGTCTCCACAGAGACAGATTCTTCTCCCAAGTAAGTGTCTCTGATGCACACAACCTCTCACTGTGTGTTTTATATTTTTCCCCTGTAAGTGTATGTAAATACACTCAATGTCCGTATGTGAACATGTGAAGCCAAGGTCAAATTCCTTGTCTGTGCACAAAATCTTGCTCACTAAAGACGTTTCTAATTTCAGTTCATCATCTAAAAATGGAACGAGTAAATCACAACAGCAGACCTATAGTCTAGGCCGTCCTGCTAAAATCCATAGGTGGAAGGATCTGTCAATAGGACTAGTTTTAATCAGTCAGGGTTTTTGTAAAAGTGATGTGGGCAAGCTTTATTCTGCACCCCTTGAAAATGCCTGCCAATTGTTGCACTGTTGTTGCACACACCCATAAAAAGATTGCACTGCAAAACTGTCTTTTCAATAACGTTGTTAGTACTGTTTTAATTTGGTGGTTTCCAGGTTTGATGGGTCTGCATAGACTGTTTGAGATGTTGAACTTAAGGTAATCAAATGCTGTCCAGAGATCTTAAAAACTCAACACCAATATAGACTTCTTTGTTCTGTGTCATTAAAAGCCATCAAATAAAATGTTATATAAAAATTAGCAAGAAAAATGAAACATTTTTCATTCACTTGCTTGGGTTACAACTGATTGACTTTTTTTCCCCCAGGCACTTACACGTCACCTCAGTAGAATAGTTAGTTGTGCTCTAAACACAACTAAATATTCTGACCTATATAGAAGAGAGGCAAGATAAGAAAAAAATAAACCATACAAATTTCCCTTAGAGTTTACCATAAGCCATGTGAGGAGTACATCCAATATGTAGAAGGGATTGCTCTGGTAAGACGTTACCAAAATTAAACCTTTTAGTTGATCATTAGCAAATTATTTTCTACTTAGAACACTGAACACGTCTTCTTCTTCTTGTTATTCACATTAGCATTACAGTCACAAAATTCCAACAGAATACATTCAAGTTTGTGTTTTCAACGTGACAAAATGTGAAAAGGGAATGAATACGTCTGCGGTGTACATACCTACCACTTCATAAGTTGTTTCTGCATTTCGGTGCAACAGCATTGGGGGTAACAATCTTCTTCAAGCAATGAAGCAAACTAAATGAACAACACTTAGAGGGAAGACCAGCACTCTGAGGTCGCAGGTGGCATCTCTTGCTGCGCCTCTGCATTGGCGGGGAGTGCAACTTCAGTGCCAGGGAAGCAAGCAGGATCAATACACTCATTCAGAAGGCTGGTATCATTTGTGGTTGGAAGCCAGAGACCTTTTGATTCAGGGAACAAACGGCTCTCCTTCACTGACAACCCATCCTGAGGCTCGTTGTGACTCGCGCCACAGGAAAATAAAGGCCGCTTTAAGAAGTCTCTCCTGCCTTCAGTAGCCGTCTCTTCTTTGGCTTGTTGCATCTCTGTGATGGTGGCGATTTTTACACATAGGTCAACAATTTGTGTGACCGATACTGGATGTTGATGCATCAGGGTTAATGGGTCTGGAAACAAAAATATCCTTTTTCGGAAAAACCTGCATGGAAACCATGTTTTCTTCAGGTTTTAGTAAGTTATTTAGTAAAATTATATGTATATTTTTTGATCTGTCCTTCAAAGACAGCATTTTGAATTTTCCATGTTAAAAAACATTAATTTATACGTAAAGTTCACAATGTGCTTTATTAGTCCAGGCCCTTCTTCCTCCTCTGCTGCTGGTGTCAGTACAGTGTGAAAGTTGGATAATGTCGCTGCCACATGATATCAACACAGTCACATTTCTGGTTATTCAACTACTTCATTGCAAACTGCTTGTAAGAATCCATTTACAGTACTGAATGCCTACACACTTTATTTTTTATTTTCTTAAGCAAATAAAATCAGACAGGCTCTACATGGATTCGTATTCAACTCTCCGGAGTCAATAACCTGCATTTACAGCTAGAATATTTCACAGTTTCATTAGCTTTGGCAATTTTTGCTCATTCTACTTTGAAAAAACATCTGAAGATCTGATGGTTTGAATGGAGATTGTCCGAGGAACAATTTTACAAGTTTTGGTGCAAATTTGTAATAGGCCTATACTTTGACTGGGCCATTTTAACACCTGGATATGCTTTGATCTAATAGCCTATTTTAGCTCTGCTTGTATCTTTAGGGTTGGCTTGCATTATGCGTTGCTTTCTCTTGGTCTGTTATATTAAATCCCGATGAAATATATTATAAATTATGTTCTGTAATGTGATGAAAAGTGGAAATGTTGAAGGGGCGTGAAGGTCATGCCAGTTTATAATCTCAGTGTATTGGAGGGTGGCTCTTGTCAAATGTTATGTTTCTGTGCTGAAGGCCATGACACGACTACATGACTCCTCGGAGTCTGGTCTTTGGATTGGTTAAGTAATAATCTTTTTATCCTTCTTTGTACTGAGCACTATTGACGTTTTCAAAGCAAAGATCTGGAATACTGATCTGCCTGACCTCAATTTCGTTTTTGCTTCATGCGACAATGACCTTTACCCAGATGCTTTTAAAACACCTGCTGCTGCAGCCGCATTGCTTTTTGATTAATACAATTAAAGTTTAGGTCAATGTAAGGATCATAGTTTTTTTTTTTCAATAATTGGTATTTTTGATTTTTTTTCTTTTCTGATTTCATCTAACTGTTGAGGTATTTCACATTTTCTGTTGTTCTGTAAGCAAAAAAGAAATTAGCTGAAAAATCTAACATTGTACAACTATTGTAATCGCTAAAAATAACCTGATAATTTAACTCTAACATGATAAGTTAATATCCAAATTTTTTTGTACCAAAGTTTCAATAGCTTCTTAGATTTTCATTTAGTCTTAAATGTCCCCACTAACTTCACTTAAGGAGAAAAATCACTCCCCACATGGTGCAGCCTAAACCCGGCTTCATCTACTCTGAGCGTAAGAACACCTACACAGGAATTGTGTTCATTAGTTTCACCTGGGCATTTAGCTCAATCTTGCCAAAACAGGTTGTGGTGAAGCGGTTGCTGTTGGATTTGGATCTGCAAGCAGGTGAGTTTCTGACAGTAAAACAAGAACCTTTGTGCAACACACAAAAACAACTATTCCAGACAAAGGCCACAGTGAGGTGTGTTGATCCTTGTACTAATTCACACATGACTAGTCAGCCAGTTTCTCCAGAGACCGGAGGGGGTTGAGCGTCGCTCCTTCACCCTGACGGTCCGTCCCTGGGGGGTAGGGGTGGGGGCGCCGATTTATGTTTTCGCATCCACCTGAATAATGTGTAGTTGCACAACTGCTTGAAAGTGGCCTCTGTCTCTTTAAGAAGCGTTGACTGCTTCCAACAGTGATTCTCATTTTACTATTTACAACCCTTATTAGGGCTGAGTGAGAAGTAGTTTGAATGAGCTCAGCAGACTTGTGGTTTTGAGCTTCATAGTAAAAGCTGTGAATACTCACATAAATTAGATTTGTTGGTTTTCTATTTGTAATGAATTTGAAAAGCACTTACAATTAGTTATCCATGCTGACATATTGAGGTATTTGTGTGTAGAATTTTGAGGAAGGAGATTAATTTAATAAAGTTTGGAAGTGAGGCGCTTTGAGTTCATTGATGATCCTGCTGTCGTTGGGTTGGTGACAAACAGTGCTAACATGCAATTTGTCCCTCAGTACCACTGCAGGGATGATTATAGATTTCATAAGAGCTGTTATCAGTAACGTCTCATTGACCATCAACAATCCTGAGGTGAAGAGGACTTGTTGCATCTTTGCAGATTTAAAAATGTCACCATTTCCATTCTGCAAAAGTAGCACCAAAAGCGTATTTTATATTGCGTAATTTTCTGGTTTGGCAATAGGATGGCTAAAGAAG